GAGAGACCCTGGCCAGAGATCAAGGCCAGTGGAAGGGTGGGTGTGACCCCCGAGGACAGGCCTGTGCCAGTCGCCCTGGAGCGGGGCGGCGAGTGGACAGAGGGAAGCCAATTCATGTGGGGCCTCGCCACGGCCGGCCCGAGTCAAGGGGAGCACCCATGTCCCCAGGGCGGGTTCCCACGCAGAGGACCCGAACTTCCCTAGGTCACGAGCGGAGTGACCCTGCTCAGTTCGCTCTCGGAGGGGGGAGAACTGTGACGTAGTGGGGGTACTTGCTGGGCTGTGGTGACCCCTGCTGTCTGGAGCAAGACCCAGCAGGGAAAATCTCGCTAGGCAGAGATAAGGCCAAACTTGTCGAACCAGTGGCCAGACACCCCCCATGGAGAGGAACAAAGGAAGGTGAATGCTGCCCTGGACTGGGGGGCAGGGCTGCAAGGGAAGTTAGTTGTTACTGTGGGAGAGCATGGAGGAGACAGCCTAGGGAGAGGAGCTGGAGTTTAGGGGCCCAGTCTCCCCCCAACTCAAGGGGGCCTGAGGCATCCTAGCCCAGTTCTGTGACCAGACTACATCTGTGCTATGCTGTATCCTGGAGAGGCAATAACCTTCCTCTATTCCACTGGCTGGTGCAGTCTGTTTGTGCCATCTCGGGGTGCAGGAGACGGGGAACCCCCAACACGCCGTCACATCCTGCTTCTAATGTACTTTAAAAAGATTTTGCTATTATTTTTTGAGTTTTTGGCTAGCTGTTCCTCAAAATCTTTTTTGGCTTTTCTTATTACATTTTTACACTTAATTTGGCAGTGTTTATGTTCCTTTCTATTAACCTCACTAGGATTGGACTTCCACTTTTTAAAAGATGCCTTTTTATCTCTCACTGCTTCTTTTACATGGTTGTTAAGCCATGGTGTCTCTTTTTTAGGTCTCTTACTATGTTTTTTAATTTGGGGTATACATTTAAGTTGGGCCTCTGTTATGGAGTCTTTGAAAAGTTTCCATGCAGCTTGCAGGGATTTTACTCTAGTCACTGTACCTTTTAATTTCTGTTTAACTAACCTCCTCATTTTTGTGTAATTCCCCTTTTTGAAATTAAATGCCAGAGTGTTGGACTGCTGAGGTGTTCTTCCCACCACAGGAATGTTAAATATTGTTATATTATGGTCATTATTCCCAAGCGGTCCTGTAATAGTTATTTCCTGTACCAGATCCTGCACTCCACTCAGTACTAAATCGAGAATTGCTTCTCTCCTTGTGGTTCCTGTACCTGCTGCTCCAAGAAGCAGTCATTTAAGGCATCGAGAAATTTTATCTCTGCATCTCATCCTGAGATGACATGTACACAGTCAATATGGGGATAATTGAAATCACCCATTATTATTGAGTTTTTAATTTTGATATCCTCTCTAATCTCCCTTAGCATTTCAATGTCACTATCACTATCCTGGTCAGGTGGTCAATAATATATCCCTATTGCTATATTGTTATTAGAGCATGGAATTACAATCCATAATGATTCTATGGAACATGTTGATTCATTTAAGATTTTTACTTCATTTGATTCTACATTATCTTTCACATACAGTGTCACTCCACCACCCGCACGACCTATTCTGTCCTTCCGATATATTTTATATCCCGGTATGATTGTGTCCCACTGAGTGTCCTCATTCCACCAGGTTTCTGTGATGCCTATTATGTCAATCTCCTCCTTTAATACGAGGTACTGTAGTTCACTCATCTTATTATTTAGACTTCTAGCATTTGTGTAGATGCACTTTAAAAAATCACCACTGTTTATTTGTCTTCCCTTCCCTTGTATATGTGATTGTTTCTTGTCTGATCTGGCCCATACTTTACCATCTCCCCTCCTCTCTTTCTGACTGAAACCTAGAGAATTTCCATGAATGGACTCTCCTCTAAGAAAAGTCTCCATCTGATCCACATGCTCCTTCGCACCAATCGGCTTTCCCCCCTCTCTTAGTTTAAAAACTGCTCTACGACTTTTTAATGTTTAGTGCCAGAAGTCTGGATCCACCTTGGCTTAGGTGGAGCTCATCCTTCCTGTATAGGCAATGCCTGTGTCTGTTGATATAGGTTCCTACTCTACTCATCACACTAGTACTGGGGGACCTTAGTTCATCTGATTTTCCTGCCCAATTTCAGGTGCCACCAGTGCTCACCACACCCATAGTTATTGGAGGTGTTTAATTGTCAAGCGGAATCAATTAGAAAAGTCCCACAATGTGACCATAAAAGCTTTAGAGCCAAAATGTTTGTGTGTTTCAATTTATTTTGTTGGCTATTTGCTCTTTTGGCAGGTTTCTTTGGGAACCATAACAACATTTGATAAATAAACATTTTACCAGATGCTGCTGCTAGCAGGCTGTAAACTACTGTTCTTCCTTCTCTTCTTAAAATAAAACTGTTGAGTTCCTGATATTGAAAGGCTGTGACTTCTACTGGCAAAGAGCACAAGCAGAATAACAACAATGGCACCTAAGGACGTGTTTAAATACTGGAACTGAAAAGGGAACACCCTGCTGTGCAGATCAGAATGAAGGGTAGCTCTAACAAATCTGAAATATCCCAAGGATCCAGCTACTCATGCCTGGAAAGCTACAGAAGACTGACACAAGAGTATGGAAATAGGAGATACTGTGTTGTGTGCTGTGGAGGCCTGTTCCCAGTGCGTAGCTTTGATTCTGAATCCTGAAGGAGCTGAAGCCCAGGGATAACTACGTGGAAGCAAATGGGGAATTGTAATCTTTGGAAGGAGATTTGGAAGGAGTGTCTGCATGCGATGCAATGAAGCAATAATTGGCCCTAGCAAACAGCATGGAAAACATTTGTATGTGTTCAAAGACTGTGTAATGACATTATATTGCTTTCTCCTGACTCTACTTGAGCTCATTGTATTAGCAGGGGGTATCCTGACAATGAGGGGGAAAATGGGTGTCAGTTAATTTAGAACATCTGCTTAACTCCAAAGACTTACTCTTTCCTATTTTAAAGAATCTAAGTGGTAATCTGAGAAACTGACTCACAATGACATGGCCTGGATTGGTTTCACAAAGGATTACAATTACAGACTGGCTTGAGACACCAAGACTAGAGTTTGGATCCAAACTTGCATGTTTGACTTCCAACGACATTGAGGAACCCAAGTGCCTCCGTCACTGCTGGAAGCAGGGCTGAGGCTCCCCAGTTACTGAAAAGCTTTTTAAAATTGTGCCCATGGTTGCGACACTAAAGAATTTAAGACAGGGTCCTGGTCCTGCTATTGGATCAGTGCACGTGGACTCTTGTGCCCTGCGTGTGTGTTGTTGGAGGCAGTGGAGGCCTGTGTAGGTGCAAGGATTTTCCTGTGGGGCTCTGATCACAAGATCAGGACCTACTGCTCATAGTATCATGAATGGCGGCAACAAACAAAGGAAGCAGAAAAGGGGGACAAAGACCTAAGCAGCAAGCCCCTGGGGTTGCTGGGTGGTTATCCACTTTTCAGGCTGAGCCTGGGGTTCTTTACATTGTCTCTTCTAACTAGTCTTTTCTGTTTGTTGTATCTTGTATTGAGAGAGGCAGGGGGAGGAGGCCCGAGATATTGTGCATCCCGGGGCTCTGAAAAATTGACATTTCAGTTCTCTCTGTTTCCTGGATGTATGATATCACATCCTGAGCCCTTCCCTTTTCTCCTTGCTCTGTGAAGCACTAGGAGGAGTCCAGTCGCAGTCACCGTGTGAACTGGCCTGGAACGCTGTAGCTGATTGTGTGGAGCTTTTGCGATTGCCAGCCTGCTTCATGCGTGTGCTGTAAGACAGAGCAGCGAGAAGACGAACAGCCCTTCTGAGCACAGTGAGTATCAGCTAATGAATTTCTCTAAATCCGAAAGCTGCTTTCGCAAGAAAAGTGCGTGAACACCCTGGGAAAGTTAATACAACCCAAAGGATGACACCTCACTTTCAGTTTCCATCAGTGAAGCAAACGTGGAACAGATGAGTTTCCTGGCACAGCTGGAGTGAAAGGGGCAGCAGATGGGCTGTCTAGTGTACAAAAACTACATCACTGGTGGGGGACAGAGATGGAACAAAGCATATTGTAAGAGGCAATGTAGCACTCGCTGTGGAACTATAACGAGGGAAAACTACTACTTTGTTTATATGACTGTGAATGAAAATCTGATATTGCAGTAATGTTGTATGACAAGTACCTCTTACTTTTGCTGTATCTCCTTTGACTTACTGAGCGTCACAATACTAGATGGCAGTAAGCTTAATATAAAGGGAATCGAAAGACCATTTTCCTCTGCTAATCTCGGCTGATCCCTAAAGCACACAGACTGAGCAAACTTCTCAATAGTGAGTCATTGACACTCCTTAGCCTAACTACCAAATGTTATTGCTCCTTCTGCACTAATCTATATGTTTCTAGTGCTACCGTTTAGTGCAAAGGGAGACAGAGAAGACAAATCTACAGTGTGCCTTGTACAATGTGGTTCTGCAGATGCAAGCTAAGTTATGCATTTACGCAGAAGCTGCCTTATTTTAGAAGGCTACCGTCAATTTTCACATTTCACTTACCTTAGCAGCCTCTTAACATAGGGCCAGATTCTGCCATCCTTTACTCACATTGAGTCTTACCATAGTCTGACTTTAGAGGGACTGCTCACAGTCAGGTACTACTTGATAAGAGTGGCAGAATCTGGCCCTTAGATTTTATGAAACAAAAGACAGGACTATGCAGCACTTTAAAGACTAACAAGATGGTTTATTAGGTGATGAGCTTTCGTGGGCCAGACCCACTTCCTCAGATCAAATTGTGGAAGAAAATTGGCATGATCATATATACCAAAGGGATACAATCAAAAAAAGTGAACACATATGTGACAGACCAAGCCGGGTCTGGGCACAGCGGAGGGCGTCCGCTCAGGGCGAATTGCTCAAATTTGGGGCTCCTTACAGCCCCCCGACTGGAGACCTTCCCAAATAGGCCACAGACCAGTCCCACAGAGCGCTTCAGCTGTCTGCCAGAAGCCTCACGAGTAAAACCCCTCCGACCCCCCAGCAATATCTGTGCCCCACATGACCCCGGGCCTCATACACAGGTGAGGGGTCTTAGAACCCAATCTCACCTACCCCAAACAAGTTCTGTCTGGTTCCAAGAAACCAGACACAGTTCCCAGGTCAATTTACACTCTGGACCTTACCCACAAATCACGCTGAGCCAGTCCTTTAGAATCTACCATCTAAAGGTTTATCACTACAAGAAAGAAACGCATGAGAGTAAGGTTGTTAAAGCATCATACATTACATGCATCGAATCTCCCAGTTCTCAATGCAGGCTTGCAGCAGAGATGTTATAATTGCTGGCTTAAAAGTACTTGGTGCACATCCTATGCCAGGATGGGTCCACAGTTCTTCCTGGCACGTGAATCCCTGCGAGGCCGCATCTGGGATCAGGAGCAGATCTGGAGATATCATGGAGTTGGCCACATCCCATCTTTCTATCTCCTTCCTGGTTCCTTCCAAGCTGGCTAGAGTCACTTGGCCAGTGGTGAGGTGTATCTTTAGCCTCCAGAGATCCATTGTTCCCTGGAGACTTGCTCATTAGCATGTCCATAGGCAAACATTCCTGGCCCATTACTCAACCACATACAGAGAAACTTCCAGTCTCCATATAGAGTACATATTCATAACTCCACATACAGGCATTATACAGATATATGAAGAGCATATCCAGAAGCAATAGAAAGTAAGCTTTTCTTTTATACCTCACATGGCCCCCTTTGTACCGACTTTTGGGGCGAACACCCCCCCGTGGGTGCAGCAGCGACCTGGCTGCTCTCCTCAAAATCCAATAACGTGACAACATAAAATTGACAAATCAGATTTTAGAATGGGGGGGAGGGGAGAGGCGGAGGGGGGAAGGTTAGTCAGCAAGACTAGACTGACACGGCTACATCTCTATTACTTAGATTTTATGTCACTCATACCTTCCCCAAAATGTAAAATATCAGCATTCAATAAAAAAATGTATCACTGCCGTATAAAACATTCAAATCAACCCCTCATTTCTAGTTCATGAAACAACCTCCTTCCTAATTGCGTGCAAAAGATGTTCTATTAAACTAATAAATGCCAGTCTGATTCCAAAGTGTTCTTTTAAAAAAATAGTTACAATTTCTAGAAGACACACCACCAGTAATATGCTGTGTCTGTGACCCACATGCATGCACTTCATTTTGAGTCAGACCTACAGAAAGTATGGCTATATTTTTGAGAATGAAAGGGTGAGACCAATAATTGTGGCTCGACTTGCTAATAATATAGGCATAAGGTGTCCTAGGTTCCCCAGATTCTTCAGTGATGTGTGCCAACTGCACAGTGAATGCTCTTAAATGGGTCCTTGTATTAGTATATTAGTCTGATCAGTATCAGAACTTTGCAGGAACTGCACATCTTTCATTATGTGGTACCTGCGTGCATCCTCCTGTTGCACTTCTTATCCATCATTCCTCCAATTACTGTAGTTTTATCAACTCATACATAGCAGCACCTGAGCAGGAGAACAGTAGAAAGGGTCTTCATCTACTCTCATCTCCTCTATCTTGTGAGTTTTCCAGAGAAGAATCAGAAAGTAAAGAGCCTAGAATTGTCATACAGGCAGCCAAGTCTGCGATGGAGGGGGCAGGGAGGAGCACAATTGCCCAGGAAAACATCCTGGAGCCCCAGTTACTGCTGTGCCTTGCCCCTCTACCCCGGCCAAACAAGCCTCAGACCAGCTGTAGCCTCCCCTCCCTTCCCCAGACCCACCTACTCTGGGGGAAAGTGTCTCTTTCAAAGTCATTTTTTATACTCCCCATGCAAGTTTCAAGGCAGCTGAGTAACAAATAATGCTGAGTTGGGCCTGGAACGGACAGGGCTGCAGTTGGCCGGGACTCCTCCAGGCAAAGGAGGGACAGGACTGTGACTGGCCAGAGGATCCTCTAGTCAGGGTGGGGGCCGCCTCCGAACAGGTGAGGGATGGCAATGTGACCAACAAGGGGGTCCTCTGCCCAAGGGGTGGCACTTTGGCTTTCTCTGGCGGGGGGGAGGGGGAATGCTTCTGACTCCAGCCAAAGAAGGGACACAGGGAGCCCATTGATGGTTCTGTCCTAGGGCCCAGAATTCTTGTCGGTGGGCCTAACGGCAGCTTTCTATTGGAGAATCTTCCACTGCAAATAATTATTTCTCTGTCTGCTCCTCCATTTTAATAGTTCCTCTCAGTTCTAGAAGCTCTTACATGCTTGACTTTATCCAGAAAGGTCTGCTTCTTCAGTGCAGCTAGGACACCAGTGGGGAAAAAAAAACCAGGAAAAGGGGAAAAAAGAGATTTCTCTGCATGAATCGAAGCATGCTGGTAAAAGCGGGGGGATAAGTGCATCTAGTTCCACTGTGTCTGTCTAACGTTCTCCTGCATGCTGCTGGATCTAGACTTAGGAATGTAGGACCAGATCAGTGGTCAACCTGCTGCAGAATCCTGTGTCAGATGCTTCAGAGGAAGATGCAAGAAATCCTGTAGTGGAAAATGTAAGGAATAAATTGTTCCTAGAGGAATATTCTCTCTACAAGCTGTGTGCTAGTGGCTGGCTTATGTCCTGAAGTGTGGGGGTTTATACCCATTTTATCTCATCTGATGTAACTGTGGATATTCTCATTTCCATGTAAATGTTCAAACCCCTTTTTTAAACCTACTAAGCTCTGGGTCTACATGATATCGTAGCATATAATTATAGAAATGTAGAAGCAGAAGGGACCTTGAGAAGTCCACACCCAAACCAAACCTAGACTCTCCTGACGTATTAGTCCAACCTGTTCTTCACGACCTCCACTGATGGGGATTCCACAACATCCCTTGATAACCTATTCCAGTACTTAATATCCTCATAATTAGAAAGTTTTTCTTCTACTATCTAACCTAAATCTACCTTGCTGTACATTAAGCCCATTACTTCTTGTCCTACCTTTAGCAGACATGGAGAACTGATCACGGTTGTCTTTATAGCAGCCCTTACCATATTTGAAAATTCTCATTGGGTCCCCCTCTCAATTTTCTTCTCTCAAGAATAACCATGGCCAGGATTATTTTAGCTTTCCTCATAGGTCAGGTTTTCTAAATCTTTTATAATTGTATACATTTTGTCCTTTGGACACTCTCCAGTTTGTCTACATCTTTAGAATATAAGAACATAAGAACGGCCGTACTGGGTCAGACCAAAGGTCCATCTAGCCCAGTATCCTGTCTACCAACAGTGGCCAGCACCAGGTGCCCCAGAGGGGGTGGACCGAAGATAATGATCAAGCGATTTGTCTCCTGCCATCCCCCTCCAGCCTCTGACAAACAGAGGCCAGGGACACCTGGCTAATAGCCTTTCTATCCCCTGGCTAATAGTTTTTTATGGACCTAACCTGCATGAAATTATCTAGCTTCTCTTTAAACTCTGTCATAGTCCTAGCCTTCACTTCACTTTCCTAAAGTGTGGTGCACAGAATTGGACACCCTACTCCGGCGGAGGCCTCAACCAGCATCAAGCACAGGACTATGTCCTCCCATGTCTTACATCCAACACTCTTGATAATACACCCCAGAATATTTAGCTTTTTTCACAACTGTATCACATTTTGATGGTTCACTATAGCCCCCAGATACTTTTCAACATCACTACCGCCAAGCCCATTTTTCCCCATTTTGCAGTTGTACATTTGATTATTCTTCCCTAAGTTAAATACTTGGGATTATGTTGTCTTACTGAAATAAAGATATGTTACATCTTCTGCTTCTCTCCTGGCTACTAGCCCAGTAATCGTGAGGACGAT